GAGGTTGGGCAAAGGGGTGAACCTTCCCCTGGCCAGAGGTGGGAAGGAGATGGGAAATCCCCCTTGGGACTCTTGTGCTGGGTGATCAGCCCCTCCAGGGTGGGGGGCCCCCCCGCCCCGGCTTGTCTGTCCCAGCCAAAGAGCCCCAGCCCTGGCACAGATCTTGTGCCCTCCTGCTGTGCCAGCTGGCAGGACCGTGGTCCCATAAGGCTGTGTCAGGGCTGGCCCTCCGGCTGGAGGGAAGGGGCCCTAGGCTGAAACCGGGAGATGCTGTGCACGGATCGGCCCCATCCGCCAGCCTGCAAAGCTCCCCAGGACAGTCCTGCCAGGGCTGGGGCTGGGCTCCCGGTCCAGAAGCAGCAGGCAGGCCCGGGAGCAAAGCCTGCCAGCAGAGCGGGGAAGTCGGGCAGCGTCACATGGCTGGAGAAGAGCAAATGCACTGCTTGCATTTCAGAAAATGGAAAAAGTGATCTGGACAATGAGAGCCCTGTTATCCTGACCTCCCTGGCACATGGACTCGGAGCACGTTCAGAGAGGGAGATAGTACAGAAACAGGGAAACGGCTCCTGTCGTGCCCTAGGGAGCTCACACTGCAGCCCGACAGCTATCCTAGGTTGGGTGTGGGAAGTGCTGTTGGCCCGTGCAGACCTCAACAGGACGTTTCACTGGGAAATTCTGAAATGAGCGGCAGGAGCTGAGGACAGGCTGAGCTGTGAGGGCAGAGGAAGCACAGTGGGGACAGAGGATGCTGGAGCCTGAGCAGAGGAAAGCCATGACCCAGAAGAGTGCTGAGGGTGACAGCAAGCTGAGATTAATGTAGAAATGGATGGCTGAAGTTTGAGCAGGTCCAGAAGCAACTAAAGGACTGTGAGGAAGAGAAAGCCACAGTAAGCTTTTAAATACAGAAGCTGAGATAGCTGAGCTGGGGGTGACAGAGTAGGGCATCAGTGGGACATCACTGCCCTGTCCCAGGGCACCTCCTGGTGCTGCTGTAGGGGTTGGGGTCCTGGCCTGGGAGACATTTGTCGTGGCCTCACACAGCCATACGGCTCTCGCCCCGACCACCACTGTGTCAGGACATGGAGGCCCTCCCAGCATCAGCTCTTCTGGCTGCACCCTATGCCCAGCTGGACGTGGGGCCAGGCACTCGTCTGGCAGGGCTGTGAGACTGCAGGCACATGTGGGGCTGCCCCACGTCGCTGCAGGGCTGGGGCTGAGACCTCGCATCAAGCCAAGCGGTCTCAGACACTGATGATTTTGGTGATCCTGTTAAGACTGAACATACCACATCCTGGAGGTCACACTGCTGGGGCTCAGTGGGGACTGGGGCTTGGTGGGGACTTGGTGCTTTGCTGCACAAAGCCAAGCACTTTCTCAGGTGCCGTGTTCTGGTCTCTGGTCCTACGTGCTTTGTTCCTAAATGCATGGGCTTAAATTTTCCTTGTAGTCAAGGATATAGACTACATGATGCCATTTTATTACCAGGCTGCCCAGGTCTGTCCCCATCACAGTTCTCCACACTCCCTGCTATTTCTGTCTTTGCAGACTGTACCAGGAGAGGACTTTTTTCCTCCTCCAGACACAGTTTTGCTTTGAAAAGCATGTGATCCTCACCGGAAAGCCCACTGACTGGTGACTTCCCCATTGTAACCACATTTTAGTTCCAGCAGGTGACCAGTTTTAATCCACTTAGTAGAAGGTGCACTGATTTTGTTGAGTGCTAATTATTCATTAAAAGGTGGTGCAAGATGAATTGAATGCCTTCCAGTCTCAGCCTGTTATATCAACACAGTTACTCCAATTAACCAAACCTGTGATCTCATAAAAGGTCATACCAGCTTTCTGACATGGGCTATTTCTGCAGAACTGTGGAGATTGGCATTAATTGTGCTGCTGTCCTTTAGCGTTGCATTGACCCCGTTGCAAAACAGCCTGGAGCCTGCCTGCAGTCCGCATCAGCAGAGATCATCTTGCTTGTTCAGTGCAAGTGCTGGTGAAGCTTTAGTCCTTATGCGCTTGCAGCTTTCACAGTCTCCCAAGGTGTGTTACAATTAGCACCAAGAGGGCCCAAACTTTTGTGTCATGTGCAAAGTGGTATAGGTCTGAGGATTTATAATGCTACATTTGGGCAGGGGGGATGTCCCCTCAGTGACTGATGGGTGGAATAAGTGTTTTATTACTGCTGTGAGGTGGTAAACTCATCCCCTCACTGCTTTCCAGACAGAGCAGAGATGTGGATGGAGTGCTTCTGCCCTGCCTGCCCCTGGCAAGCCCAGAGCCCCCCTTCCCCAAGCCGCTGGCAGGGCTGGGGTGGCCCTTTGTGCCCGCCCTCCTCTTTCTCCTGCCATAACAGGCTGATTAAAAGGTTCAGCAAAGCATTACCCTGCTGCCTGCCCACAAATACGCGTCCTGCTGGGCTTTGTTTTGTTCTCTCAGTACCAAAGCAGGCAGAGGTGT